AGTATGGAATTCTCAGCATGGATATCAGTAGCCCGAATTTACAGGCCGACCATAGATATCGGGTGTGCGCCGGTAGGGGATCGAACCCCGGACCAGGTGCATGGTCGGCGAGAGTCCTAACCACTGTGCCACCGACGCACATCTCTGCATTACTGATCATTGTCAAAAGTAAAAACATACAAATAAATAAATGTATTATTAAGAACAAAATATTCAGTAAAGGGGTTCTTTTATTCTAATATATATGATATTAGTTATCGTAGCGTGGTTCAATTTACTGATGAGGAATACTGTGATTACAAAAGTCAGTCATATTTATAAGGTTGAAGGTAACAGATTACTGTTGGCCCCTCCGAGAAAAACAACAAGGATGTGTGAAATTCTTTCATCGCTCCTCTAAATGCATCATTATTGCAGATAAAGAGGAGCTTATATGTACAAACATGTAAGAAATCAAAAATGGTTAACATAAATACTGCTAAAGGCAGTCAACGCTGTGGAAAAGTTAAACAGACAGTGGGAAAGATGCCAAATTAAACATTGTAGAAATTAGGCTGTATTTTCTGTAATGTCAACATAATACCTGAGTTTTCCCCAGATATTTATTCTGTATAATAAGTATCTCCTGTCATTCCCATTTTGTGAATATTTGCAAGGAATACTTTTCACCAACAGTAGTCAGTCTACTTTTATTACCATCCTTCCAACTATACTCCTCTTTGTCTATTCTGATATAATTTTATTTATTATATACATATATATATATATTGTGTGTGTGTTTAGTTTCCAAATCGATAACTGAGATATCAACAACAGATAGACATTTTCATGATAGAATTTCAACAAGATAGATGTCTTTAACATCCCTTTTCATTTCTAACTATTTTTCTTTATTTCAGATGAACTGTCGTCAAGATTTGACCGAATAGTTCTAAAATATTTGGGCGCCACGTGAGAAGTAGACATTTGTACTTCTCACGTGGCGCCCAAATATTTTAGAACTATTCGGTCAAATCTTGACGACGGTTCATTTGAATTACTTTGCTATCGAATTAAATTAACAAAGAAACTATGTAATTGGCACAATCATCGTGTTTTCAGTCTCCGTTGTCTGGAACAAAATGCACATCCTAAATCCGTAGCTGTCGAGTCACCTGACAACTCCAGTAGGTCGAATAAAGCAGCTCAATATTCAGAAAGAAGACAATGCAATAAGTTCGACAGGGTGCTTAAACTAAACTCTAATCCTAAACACCATAATTTTGAAAATACGTCTAATCATAAAATTCTATATACTAGCAGTTTGAACAGACATGCAGGCGAGATGTTAGCTGATGCATAGGAAATCCTGATTAATAAATAAGAATGGACATGTATCACTAATTAATAATACTTGGTCAAATTCCTGACTGTCTATATCTTCCTATGGAGACGTTAAGAAATGTTTTACAACTGTTTACACACACACACACGCATGCACACTCTGTTTAAAGTATTTAACAAAGGTAGACCAATATTTGTAAGTCCGAGGTCAAATTTTGATCACAGCTCATACAATTTTGTTTATTATACTTGTTAATACCTGTGTTTATGAATCATGATTGGACAAAGTTTTTAAAAACAAAAGATGTGCCTTTTATATATAAAACCTCTGTTATGTTAATTTTGATTAATTTCCCTGAAGAAGTTCGGACCAGATTTCCGAACGAAACGTTGGAATTACTTATTTCAATATCGCTGTTTTTTTTACAATTATAATTTTTTGCAAATGTCTATTTTTCTTTATATTACATTCCGCTGCTTACAGTCATTTTTTTATTATATCTTGACTCCGCACAGTATTTTTGATACAGGTATGGCATTTTCAGCATGTGATATCGGTAGCCCAAATTTAGCAGTCCAACCATTAACATCAGCTGTGCGTCGGCAGGGGCATCGAATCCCGGACCATGTGCATGGTCGGCGAGCTTCCTAACCGCTGTGCCACTGAGGCATTTGTAAATGATGTTCCTGATTTCTAGAGTTTGAATGCAGTTTTATAATTTTTGTGTTGTGATCTGCATATTTAATTTATAGACATGTTAGCTGTGTATTCAAAACAGAATGACATTAGATTATCTCAAAAATTTCGTCTTTCGCGTCATTCATTCGATAACTAAAGGTATCATAAGTTACGGTTAAGCATAAACGATTGTTAGATGGTGTGGTGTATAAACTGTAATTAAGTCAACATTTGAACATTATATTTCCATTTGTCAATTAAATACAATTACTTTTCAAAGGCACCGGTAACAGTACAGCCATTTTGTTTTACAAGAATACAATACGTTAATACTTTTGATCGACTAATAAAGAAAACGATCGCAATGTCGACATTGCCTATGAACCTCTACAGCCAGTCAGATTATTCAAACTAAACATACATATCATAGAAATCTTGTTTTATTCATATATAATGACATCATACACTGGACGTTTGAGGAGGTTTTAGCAGACGAGGTGAATCTCACTAATCTGTAGTCAATGCATTTAGAGTTGGTTGTAAATAAAGGAAGTCACACGACAGACACAAAATAATGACTTAATGCATTACTGACACAGAACTTTACCCGAAAGTGCTTCATTTCAAACTGCCACACAGTATAAGCAGGTGTAATGAAACGATAGCAGAGAGAAGTGTACGAGAAAGAGAAAAACTACACTAATAATGAGAACTTAATTAATTTGGAAGATCAGACGCAATGGGTAAATCTGAGCCAGAATAAGTGATTCTGCTCTACATTATCAACAGTCTCAAACGACTGATTCTTAAAATTTCAGAGATATAAACCAATTAGTCCAAACCTGTTTACATGGTTCAAACCAGCAGTCAAAGATTTCATGGATTGCTGCCACCTTTTTGTCTAACCACCCCTGATTCTATATCCGTTCACACTGCCCTCTGGGAAAGGCTCTGCCTTATCAGCTTCATAAACTCATAGTTTGACTATCCCTACTTATCTAACACTAAGCTTAACCTCACTGTTACTGACCATACTACTATGCAGAGACCTATGATCAAAACTAAGTAGCCTTTCGTATTCTTTACTTTCAACAGCTGTTTTACGTGCAAACAAACTGCTGCATAGTATACACTTCCTTTGGTGGGCAGCCGTACGCTAAGTTTATGCCAGTGATGAGGCAAACTAGCAGGTGCCAAGCAAACCTTACTCATCCCTGGCGAAAATGTTTCAGCAATCAGCTTTTTATGGATGATGCATTCTTCTAAATGAATTTAGGGTTCAATGTATTCAACAATTTCACTCCCTATCTATGAACTAGCAGCAGGCGCAGACCTATCCCGAAGTATCACCTTATATTTGACAGGTGTTAGTTTGTATGCCTGACTTTATCAAATATAAGCTTAGTCTTCAAATGTCCCTGCATTTTGTCAGCATCCCCACCTAAAAGTATGCATACTTTATATCCATAAGGCTTCTATGTGATAACAGATAAATCCCTGAGATATCGAAGTTCACGATGTTAACATGCATTAACACAAACAAATTGATAACTAATCACGAATGTCTAGGTGTTATAACTCGATACTGATTAGAAGCAAAAAGAAACTTGAGGAAGCGAATATGATGACAGCAATTTGTGAGCCTAACTGTTGTGAGAATAAGTCCGTTAGAATATAAAGAAATATGTCTAATCATACAGAATTATGTTTCATATTTCTAGTCAGACATAGTTCAACCTGTCAGGATAAATATTGTCAAAAACCAACACTTCAGAGTACTAAGAAACATTGAATAGCCATTATGTGATATCTTGGGACAACTTAGCGATTGGCACCATCTATATCGGCATGCAATACGAGTACTTTACTGTCCACCCACGTTGTAATCCACTGACGCATTAGTTTTTAGCTAGCGATACCACGTCTCCACTGTTCAGTATTTTCGACGAGCATCTGTCTTCATATTCAATTTATTGGACTCCACCAATTATAATTTCTCATCAGAACACTAAGAAACCGTACCACAATTATTTACTAGTCAGAAGTGAAATAATTTTTAACCGTTGCATACGACTAATTTCAAGATAGGACTCATAAATCAAAAACTAGGGAGCTTTTCTTAAAGTTTCAGTTGATATATCTATTGGTTTATTTAGTCTGATGATAGCACTCTAGTTATTCAGCTGATTTTCATATCATCTTTCAAGATGTCATGTTTCATCTTTTTTTAACAAGTAATTGATTCAGAAAAAAGTAGACATAGGCTTGAGTAGTTGGACCCTACGTTATTGTATAATGATGGATTAGAAAATGTTTAGGTCGCTAACTTACGATTCGCGTTTCAGGAATCAGTAGACGTATTACTCAATGATTGAAGATGAAATGAAACTTTGCATTGCCGCAGGATTCAAACTATCGGCTTCCAAATTACTTCTAGATTTTATTTCACTTTCTCACTCACTTATTTAACTCATTTATAGATTACTCATTGGAACACGATATACTATTAGTGTGCGACTAGCTATAACATAGCCCACTGTTCTAGAAAAAAAACAGTTGATTAGAAAAATTCATATTTTGCATACAATCAGAGAACTGATAGGTATGGGTACTTGTTTTCTAGCAGGATATCCGGGATCGAACAGGGTAGAGCTGAATTATGCTTTACAAACGTTCCACTAACAAACTGTTTGTATCACGTGTTAACAGAAGAATAGTTTAAGCAGGTTTCAAACACTAGACGCATCAGACAAGAGCCATGTGCTAGAGTGTAGAAACTGATACCAGGATAAAGTTAGAACTCATGAAGATGATCATCGCTGTCATACCTATTAATCATATATTGTTTCATTTATTTCTGCAAAATCTTATAAACCACCAAACAGCAATGTCCATAGACTTCGCAAAATATTAAGCTCAATCAATCCTTTTATTCTTTGACTGACTAATGATTTCACCATTACCATATGGTTAAACTAAAAAACTGACAGAAAAATAACGCAATACATAGAAAATACCCACTAAAGTACATTTACAATTTATTTTATTCGTGATTAAACATGATTCATGTACAAAGATTATTGGGTGCAAAAATAGGCAAATGTGTATGTGTTGTGTCTGAATTAATATCTGCTACAGACAAAACTTATTACAATTCGTACATATATATAGTTTGTTTACAACAAACTCAAAAGTTCGCACTTATACATCCATTTCGAACGGTGAGTCATCACCTAGAGGAACAAAAAAATTAGTGAGATATCAGAAACAAATAAATAGAAATATAGATTTATTAAGCATAGGATCCAGGGTTTTCAATCAAATCAGTAGTGTCTATATATAATGTGGTGACTGATGTAGCTTCCAAAGTTTCAGAGCTTTTCAAAGTCTATCACTAAAATCTAAAATACTATCAACGAAAGCCGAACAAAACGATATTAGGATTTGATGAAAAAGAAGCCTATATTGACTTGAGCGTCATAATTAATAGTACTTGTCAGCTGCTGATTTCCAGCATCGAAAACTGCCTACAAAAGTGGATAGCACTAAATTAGGGGTACTGCTGGCTGTAATTCTATGCATCTATCTACTCAAAGGTTTTTGAGGGTAACTATTCGACTTTTACTAAACAGTTGATCGTTAAGATTTAAACTTAGATCCACTAGGCTATTATTCGGCAATACATAACTACTACTCGACACTAATTGGCTTAAAACAATAGGACCATAAGGCCAGAATGTTACAATTTAGCTTATGGATCAAGTTCCTGGGACATGTTTTCACTGGATAACTTACAACGTATCCTGACCACTCAACGTAATTACTTGGCAGTTTTCCTCAAAACTAAATTGCTTGGCACCATTATTTACTGACTGTCGGATTTTAACCCAGTTAGTAACTGTTAATATAGCCACCAGTGAACTTGGAGACTCTGTGAATCATTCTATCGTTTTTTTCATTGTCGGTATTATCAACAACAACGTCACTAAGTAAATGACATAGTCCTGTTGATGACATACATCTGTAAAAACCTTAATATGTGTGGCTGTGTTGAAAGTTTAAGAGTCAGAACTATATACCGAAGGTATTATACTCTCCCCAGTCTTTGTATTTATATGTGGGGTGATAGCTAGGACAGACAAGTAATATCAGGAGCTCTTTGGTTTCTCAGAAATGATACATTTTACCTAACTAATTTGCCAATCAATAAACTACTACGATTTAATAACGTCTACTGACGATAAGTCACAAGAATGATAATGGTATCTAATGGCCATCCAACTTGCATATTCGAAGTTATACGTGGTAATCCAAAAACATTAGCAATTACCTTTGTTGTGAGCAGTTTCTTTACTCTTTGCGGGTGGAGAATTCTTTGTTTCATGATTGCTAGGCAAGTGAGTTTCTTTACCATTATTCACACTTGATGGATCTATTTCTGGTAATAATATCAAATCACGCATTGGGCTTCGAGCAACCGGTGAATTACGACAATTGAGAATAAAATCACGTTCATACACAATACGAGTGCCGCCTGGTGTAGTACTGAATAAAGTTCCACCTGGAGTAGTACTACAAAAATGATTATAAGAAGTGGCTAAATATTTCGTGCTGAAGGAATATAAATACAAATACAGCTACTGAATGGATACTAAACACTAATAGTTTGTAATCAAACTACTTTTCCTGCGTAACACTCATCTGGAAATCAGTTGATCGGCATCAAGCTTCTACCAAGCTAACAATTAATTACCTTTCCACTGCATGCGAAATATGCTTTAGCATTATTGTAAGAGCAAATAAGTTCTACTGCAGGAAAAATAATGAAGTGCTTAACAAAAAATAAGTAAAGCCTTACCCTAAGAACCTAGAAAAGTAGGCTTTCAGAGCTGTATATTTTAAATCGCCCAATGGATCTCTGCCTGTAGGCAGTCATGAAACAATTTTGCAAACACAAGCACTTCTAAGAGAATTGCTAACGCCTTTTGCGCTCTGAAGAACCAATCAACTTTCTGGGCTGTGCACTATGAAAGAATAAGCTCCATGATCTAAGTATGATGATCATTTGCTATTCCTATTTTCATTTTTTTCATTAACTCTTTTTCCCAGTGACTACTGTATGACATCTACTAAACTTTTAAACTTCGTACTTCAGGATATATTTGATTCCTGTGTTGATTACACGAATCCATTTAGCAGCCAGATATTTGCACTGGTGTTAAATCGACTTTTCACACCCATTCGGATATTCGGTTCAATAATTTTTTGTCATTTCTATAGAATATTGTAGAAGAACTAGAAATTCTTGCTTGTTTGCCTAGTTCCAAATCGAAAACAGACTACCTTGAAAGTCAGAGGGTTAAACACGACGCTGCATTCAAGGTAGATGAAAAGTTAAAAATTGCATGATTCCTATGTATTAGTTAAGTCGTGAAATTAATCGACTATCAGGCAGTTACTTGTGACACTGATCGCATGATCGGTTGTCACAGTGATATGCAAAATAATGATTTTTGTCCAGTGTTGAAATATAAGTTTTGTTACCTTGGTGAAAAGTTATGCGTATAAAAATCAATGGTTTATATGTTGAGTTGGTTCTGCAAACACGCTGTTCGTTCATTAATCACAGTTCACGTGCCTTGTTGCACCTCTTTGTTTCAGAAATTGACCACTAGGTAAATAATTATCTTCAGCTAAGTAGGTCCATATTGTTCCTTCACCTTGTAAATCGACTAAATACTAGGTACGGATGTTTAGTAGATTTCAAAAAGGATCAAAATAATAAATGCGTTAAAAGCACATCTAAGACTTCACCAAAAATACAAGTGTAACGTAGCTAAAAGTTGTCCACTTTCTGTTGTTGTCATATATTTTGCAACATTCATACAGTCCACCTAAAGTTGTGAAAACTCTGGTACTGAGTACAGGATAGAAATCAATTACAGAGAACAAACCCTCATGTTCCAGGCAATGAGCTTTATCTTTGTCGAGTACTGAATATGGTACCTAGGTACTCAGACTGAAGGTCAGGCAGGGTTTTAGCCGGGAATCCACTTGCTAAAAATCAAGTGTTTACTACGCAGCGCTGCAGTTCCACTGACACAGTCAAAGATATACGAGAGTCTAAAAAGAACCAATGACATGAGAACATACGCACATCTCTTGAAACCACTAAATGTAACCTTTAATGTTACTACGCCACCTTTCAGACTGGACTTTAAGTTAAGAACCTTATGACTTACAATTCGCTGAGCGAATCTAGAGTATTTTCAGGCTCCCATGAATCAGAGATTTGCATGAAAAATAAAACGTAGGCACTGAAGAGCAACAATTAATGAGTGCGTGTATCAATGGGGAAGATGTCGAGTCATTTCGTCATGTTCCTAATCCACCGAACCTCCTGTGACTCGTGCAAACAATATCCAATATCCTGATTAAGAGCTAGCATAAACCAATCATTTCTTTGAGCTCGCTTCTTGATTGTAAGGTAGAGGTTACAGATCTTCGGTGAACTTATGCGTAGTAAGTCCCGCCACTCGACTGCTTTAGCTCTGGTAGACTCCAAGAGGAGTGGTGCGAGGATTGGTCAAGATTGTGGTTTGTAGTGTGCAGTATGTTAGGACTGAGTTGCTGCCGTGAATGGAGTTTGACCTAACACCCGTTGGTCATTCGGTGTAGTCATAAAAGTAGAATAATAATAGGTTGTAGTGTAGATAATATAGGTTGAGATAAGTGAAATAATAAAGGTGACCTAAGGAAAAGATAGAGTAGACGGTACAGTGGGAGAAGACAGGACGGGTCGTGGGGATTTAGCTTGTATGCTTATCCATTGACAATGTGGTTTCAAATTTTAAGAGGGTAAGCCATTGAGACACAAACCATGCATTTCTGCATGATTGTCCAGCTTCCGCTTAAAAGTCTCCACAGACGGAGCTGTAGTTACGGCCGCCGGTAAAGCGTTCCAGAGACAGCAAACTCGAAGCGAGAAATGTGAACGCACTCGAGTCTTTGGTCTCTGGTGTGCTATCCTTAGCGGGTTACCTCGTGGAAGCCTATAATCACTTAATGGCAGGATGCTCTTATTAGGGTGGGCCTGGTCATTTTTTTAATTTTTGGTTACAGCTTGATGCCACACCGTATTTTTAGTACAATTATGGAATTTTCAGCTTTGATATCGGTAGCCCAAATTTTGCAGGCCGACCATAGATATCAGGTGTGCGTCGGCAGGGGATCGAACCTCGGACCATGTGCATGGTCGGCGAGAGTCCTAACCACTGTGCCACCGACGGTTATGAGGTCTCCCCTGTGACTACGGTAACTAAGTGTGAAAAGACTTAGTTTCTTCAATCTTTCCTCATATGATTTGTTGTGGAGGCCGATCACCCATTTTGTCGCTCGTCTGTGGACACTTTCTAGAATGTTAGCATCCCTTTTGAGTAGCGGAGGAGCAATGATATTATGCACCTCAAGGAGTGGCCTCACGTATGTCGTATACAACCTTAAGAATAGTTCGGGGGTAAGAGCTCCCAGCTGCCTATGCATAAAGTGTAAAGTTGCGTAAGCTTTGGCGACGTCCCTCGTGTAATTTACACTGGTGTCTAGCTTTTCTGTTAAAATAAGACCTAGGTCGCGTTCTGATGGCACACAACTCAAGTTCTGGCCACCAAGGGTTAATTTACACTCTGTGACCTGCCGGAATAAATTTGCACTACTTTGTACTTCTTTAGGTTGGAAGGCATTCCGTTAGCCAGAGCCCAGTCTCCCAGAGTTTGCAGGTCAGCCTGCAATCTGTCGGAGTCTTCCGATGAGTTCATTGCTCTCCAAATCTTTACGTCGTCAGCGTAAAGAAGCGCAGAGCAATTCAGTTGACAGGGCAGGTCGTTGATAAAAATCAAAAACATCAACGGCCCTAAGATAGAACCCTGAGGAACCCCTGATCGGTCGGTTTTCGACATAGAACTTTGCACATATGTGCGGCAGTTCAAGTCGCCACACTCCCTCCATGTAGCACACAAAGCAAGAGAAGAAAGTAGGAGAAATGCTTAATAATATAGACAGTAAACAGAGGTGTGAGACAAAGGAATAGTAATAACGAAGAACAAAACAGTTTCATTGGAAATCATAAGTCACAAGGAGTGGATGCATCTGCGCCACTGACAACGATTTTGAGCCATGTCACCAATTGTTTCCAACCATTGCTTTTTACCGTCCCGAGGACCCCAGATGCCGAGGTGTGCCAGGATGATCGGATGCGGTTGATTTTGGTGCAGAATTCTCTCTCGCCCAAGTAGTCTTTCAGCCATGCGTGAAGTGCTCCAGAAACACCCGCCTTGCTTATTTTGTGAAGGAGCAGACCATGGTGAACTGTGTCGAATGCTTTCGCAAAGTCGAGAAAGATCACATGGACTGGTACCTTCACGTCCCAGGATGGTGCCCAATTTGAAATGTACCCAGCAGGTTTTCGCACGTTGGTTTTGCATTGTAATCTTGATGTGCATACAGTCAATAATTTCCTGGATTTATGTTTCGATCTGACTATTCCTCAAATATTGCCAGACTAATACTACTTCAGCCAAATTTGGCTGAAGGTGGTTCAGTATGCATAGCAGCTTAATCAATGACCCCGCCACTCCATGTACTGTACTTAGCTTCGTTGTCATTTCCTGCATCGATTCGCTAGCGCAACTGAACGAGGCTTACCAAAATATGTACCTTTATTCATTGCACATATGCGCCGGTGGTTCAGTGGCAGAAAACTAGCCAACCACGACTGACGAGGACAGGGGTCGATTCCCCGGCCGGCCGACGCACTCCTAAGACCAGTCAAGAGTGGAGGTGGGGAGTGGAGCTTGCAACCACACTCCGTAAAAATGAAACCGCTTCCATCAAAATTTCAAAGCTCAAGCTTGAAGTCATACGATCCATAGGGAATGTATAGGAATAAATAAATTAATTTACTGAGAGCAATTTAAAGACAAACAATGCACAAATATACTACTTTACAAGATGTTAATTACCCATGATTCGGTGGTATTTGCGATATGTCCTTAACAGTAACTTTCCTAACTGGTATTGGCTCTGTACTTTTCTGGTCCATACTACAACTAGTTAACGTGAGATAACGAAATGCGCGCGGTGTGCTTCAAGGCCAACAGTTAACTTCTGCATCTGCTACTTTCAACAAACCAATGAAATATATGCTAATTTTAATTTTTGATGTCGAAGGTAGGCGAACGGAGTCCATCATTTCACTGTGATAATATTAATTTAATGAATCTGAGTTCTTTAGTATGCCAGATCAAGCACAGAAATAACGTTGAGACAATAAAACTAGTTCTGAATCACCGGATTGTTGAAAGTGCTGTTATACAAGTTTTAGAGTGGAGATGGACACATGTTCCACAAGGATGAGGATTTTGCAGACTAGTGTTTACAAGTGTGTCCCAAGGATCAGACTCTTGCTAAATCACTCCATTGTTTTCTGCCTTTCTTTAAATTCCTTCACAGAAGACGAACTGCATGAAGTGCTGTTACCCTGTTAGACAAGTAAAGTTCCAGTAGGACAGCAAATTGATTGGCTTGATTGATTGAAACTAAGTTTATTTCTCTGAACACTGATCCTGGTAGATTTATATTATACCAATAGCCTGATTGACTGTTATCCTCGGCTATCGATACCTGGGAGCCAGATTGCTCCGATTAATGGTTCAATTGGTGGAGGTAGAATGATAAGCTCACTGCAGTTTGCGAGATATTCAGATATATGGGATAATAAGAAATAACCGGAAAAGAACTACTGCAGAGTGCAGCCACCACGCCATTATTCCTTCGAACAGTCGCTATACTTAAAATTTTAACCATGTTGTGTAGGAAACAAAGAAGTGGAGCAAAGGAAACACTGGGCTGAACACTTCGAAAGACTCCTAAATCGACCACCACCTACAACGCGCCCAGCAATACCAACAAAGGAGACAGAGCTACCAGTGAACACCAACCCCCAAACGAAATCAGAAGTCCTGAAGGCAATCAAGATGCTAAAAGCTGGAAAAGCAGCAGGACCAGATGGAATCCCAGCAGAAGCATTGAAAATGGACCCGGAGACAACAGCAGGCTTGATGACGCCACTACTGGAGAAGGTGTGGAAAGAAGGCAAAGTACCCGAGGATTGGAAGAAAGGATACTTATTCAAACTACCAAAGAAAGGAGACCTAAGTCAATGCAAGAACTGGAGCGGAACTATGTTCCTGTCCATCCCAAGCAAAATACTAAGCCGCATCATCCTGGAGAGAATCAAACATGCCCTGGATGAAAAACTTCGACCGGAACAGGCTGGATTCAGGAGAAACAAGTCATGCATTGATCAGATCGCCACACTACGGATCATCATTGAACAAAGCTTGGAATGGCGGTCACCTCTCTATCTCAACTTCATCGACTTTGAAAAGGCCTTTGACAGCGTCAACTGAGAAGTGATTCGGAAACTACTTCGCTACTACGGGGTGCCACCGACAACTATACATCTCATCCAACAGCTGTACGACAATGCTGCATGCCAAGTAATCCACAACGGGAAACTTACGGAATCCTTCGAAGTGAGGACAGGAGTAAGACAAGGCTGCCTACTATCGTCAATGGTTTTCCTGATTGCAGTAGACTGGATAATGCGACAAACAGTGGGCAATGAGGAAACAGGCATAAAATGGACCCACACAAAAAACCTGGAGGATCTGGACTTCGTCGATGATATATGTCTGATTTCCCACAAACTGGAAGATATGCAAGTGAAAAGCAACAAGTTGGCAGAAGAAGCATCCAGAGGAGATAGGACTTCAGGTGGACATAGAGAAAACAGAGGTAATGAAGATTCTTGGACAAGAACAACAATAACAGACAACAGTCAGCATAAATGGGAAGAACCTGAAAGAAACAACCTCCTTTACCTACCTGGGAAGCATCGTTTCAACTACAGGCGGAACAGACGAGGATATCAAAGCAAGGATCGGAAAAGCAAGACAAGCTTTCACTACTCTCAAGTCTGTGTGGAGGTCAACAACACTCAGCATCAAAAATAAGATCGGGATATTCAACTCCAATGTGAAGTCAGTGCTACTATACGGATCAGAGACTTGGCGCGTCATAAAGAGCACCTCAAACAAATTACAGACCTTCATTAACAGTTGTCTTCGCTCAATACTATTCTAGATCAGATGGCCAGAAAAGATCAGCAACAGAGATCTCTGAGAGCGAACCAACCAGGAACCGATTGTGAAACAAATAGGCAGGAAGAAATGGAGATGAATTGGCCATACTCTTAGGAAACCATCAAGTGACATCACTAGACAAGCCCTTGAGTGGAACCCGAAAGGGAAGCGGCGAGTTGGTCGTCCAAGGGTGACCTGGAGGAGATCATGTGAAGAAGAATTGAAAGCGCATGGGCAGACTTGGAGCCATGTGAAAACTCTAGCAGAGAACCGAACGCAATGGAGACGCACGGCTGAAGCCCTATGTTCCTGTAGGAACTAAAGGATGCAATAATAATAATGTGTAGGAAACAAGGAACACAAAGCTGAATTATCTCGAGCTTTATTTTGTTTCTTATTGAGAACATAACAGACGGCTTGAATAAGTGAAGTTCAGATTCATGTAGGGAGGATGTTTAAGTAATTCCATTGTTTGACACTGTAGGATTGGTGGGAATAAGCCCTGTTTTGTCGATATCCACCCCCATCATTAGGCTGTTAATAATTTATTCAAAATAAAAACACTGATGTCTTTCAAATAGGAACTTTCAGTCTCCTTTTTACCGGGTTTTCTTCATCGCTGCTAACTTTTTGGTTGTGGTAGGGAGATTATCCATGATTTGCCTGGAAAATGATCTCACTACATCAGGACATTTAGGATGTAATAATGCAGTGGTAAATAGTTTCTCGAATTATCAGACTAAATCATTCCTCACTCAAAATTGGATGTTGACGTTCACCGTTCAAGTTTACCAATTAAGCAAAAGGCTCTCAGTCAGTTATTCACGCCATTTTCATGCCGCCGGATTAGGTTCTGTTACTCATGCACCATCCTTAGCTGGATCTAATCATGCATAGACAGCTGAACATAGCATTTCAGTATGCTTGACAGTGTCGCTGCCAGACCGCGTACCTTCAGTCCAACAAGTCTGTTGCGACAATCATTGTAAACTGTGAATGCTGAATGGTGTTGCAGTTATTAACTTCGAGAGTTCTTACCTATACGGTGCTTATTATAATCAAACTTTGAAAACATATGGGATGTACAGTAGACAACGAGAACTATTGTGGCTAGTTGTAATCGACATTACTACCGCAATCTACTTTGCACTCATCAAATTGTTTGTGAGAAATATTCCAGGAAACAAGTGATCCAGGCTCCCTGGACGATTTCGAGGACGATTCCATGTGGTTTTGACTATAAATAATGCAAACGACTGATGTGTAGTGTACATTGTACCTTTGAACTTTTGTTTGAATGAATGCAACCTGACATGTTGAACTTCACTTTCACTTCCGCATTGTATTCCTGAACCTCCTGTACGGTTTCGGGTTCGCTCTCTCGCTGTGCTTTCACCTAGCGCACTCTCTGAGCTTACCGCCGTCTCATCTGCAGATAAGTGTGTACCTCTTATTTCTTATCAAATTCCATATCTCTTTTGTGTAAATACAATTCTGTTCCAGTCACATTTGCCATCTCAAGTCTTTTAACCTTGATTCCGTTTGTTAGTACTTGCACGTTAGGCAGAGTACTATTAAGGCCATAAGCGGTGAATAAGTTTTGTAAGAGTAGTTACTTTTAGGTCGAAGTTAATACAGAGTCTAACTCTTACAAGTGGTGAGCCCGAATTTTCACCGTTGCCTACTTTTTAGCCTAGCGTGTAAATAGTCCTTTTTCATATTGGTAATTTGTTTGTCATAAAGAGTTGTAAATTTTTATTTGCCTTGTTTTTACTCGTATTTTTTGTTGTTATCATATTTGTTGTCATTTTATTAATATATCGTCTCGTGTGCAAAATGACTGATGCCAGTCCCGCCTCAGAAATGGCTATTACCTTGCAACTCCCCACCTTCTGGACTCAGCATCCTGCCCGATGGTTCGAACACATCGAGGCTATGTTCGCACTTCGTAATATACACTCACAGGAGACTAAGGTGAACCTCGTTATAGTAAGTCTTCCTGAGCACGTCATGGAAGATGTATCTGATGTCCTTGCGGACCGATCCCCGGGCTTGTACGAGCGTCTCAAGCAGGCGCTTATTAAGCGCGTGGCACTTACCGAAAAACAGAAAGTGCAGGAGCTATTCCGAGATGTTCACCTAGCTGATAGAAAGCCCACCCAACTGTTACGTCAAATGAGGCAGTTGGTGGCCGACTTCAAAATAGATGATGCCTTCTTGAAACAGCTGTGGTTACAACGGTTACCCCAGACGATTCAGACTATTTTAGCCCCAATCAACCATTCCCCCTTATCTGAGCTAGCTGAGGCAGCCGATAGAGTAGTAGAGACTACTACATCAAACATGAGTATCTCGGCTGCCGTTACCGCTAGTTCCACGCAGACTAGGACCTCCTCTGCCGTGGAGTCATCCAACGTTGATGTGGTGGCTCACCTCAATAAGCTGTACGAAGAGATAGATAAGTTAAAACTCGATAGGAGATCTAGAGGTCGTTCACATAGCCGCACCAGCTCGATTCGTGGCAGATCTTCGTCACGAGCTGGCAGCAGACGTCGTAGGCCTAAAAATTCCCAGCCTGGAGTGTACTGGTATCACCGGCGTTATGGTGATAAGGCCCAAAAGTGCACTCGCCCGTGCACCTTTGATGGCCAGCAATCGGGAAACCTGTAAGCCAGCACGTATTGGCGACTAACGTCGCTGGCGAACCACTTCCATGTCGCCTCTTCTATGTTACCGACCGTACCACTGGGACACGCTTCCTAGTTGACACTGGGGTGGAAGTTAGCGTGATCCCACCAACATCTGAAGAGCGCAAGCGGCCACTTTCCTTACAGCTTCGCGCCGCAAATGGTTCGCCAATCACAACGTATGGCAAAAAGTTCCTGGACCTTAACACAGGCCTACGTAGGTCATTTCGATGGGTTTTCCTTGTAGCAGATGTAACTACCGGTATTAT